TTTATAGTATCAACACATGCGATTGAACTATTACCAATACGTACTGCATTAGTTTTTAAATTGTATTTATTAAAGCGGTTTGAAAATCTTATAACTTCGGTCTTGTCGTCATTCAGTTTTAATAGATTGGGTTTCATCCAGGCTTTAATATCTAAAATACATTGTTCTAGAATAGTCATTTTCACAGTTTCAGAATGTTCATTTACAGCAACATAGAGTTGGGTGTCATCGGCGTACAACTGGTAGTCTAATCCATGATCTCGAATGACATCACCAAGAGGAGCTGTGTAGGCTGTGAAAAGCAATGGGCCCAATACGGAACCTTGCGGTACTCCGTATTTCAATTCTTTTGGTTGAGACGAAACGCCGTGTATTGATACTTTTTGACATCTTAATTTTAGATATGATTCGAACCACGCATGAGCACATCCGTTATTTCGGATCTGGATTTGAGGCGTGTGAGTGGAATCTCCTGGTCGATTGTGTCAAAAACGGCACTTAAATCTGGTAGAATCAGGAAGACACATTTTTTACCAGCTAATGAAGACACTACATCGTTGTGAACCCTTAAAAGAGCTGTTTCAGTGCGGTGCTTCGTTTTGTAAGCTGATTGAAAAGGTTCCTCCAGTCTGGATTGTTTCAGATGGCTACTAAAACGGACGGCTACAGTTTTTTCAATTACTTTCCACAGAAAAGATAAATTGGAGACAGGCCTATAGTTATTTAAGATTTCAGGGTCCAGAGTAGGTTTTTTTAGTAAAGGGTTTACAATAGCTTGTTTCAATATGGGAGATACATAACCAGTTTGTAAGGAAGTATTTACAATCTGTTTGATAATCCACAGTAGATCTGGTAAAGATAATTTTAATAGCCATGTTGGAACTGGATCAAGACTACAGGATTTACTAGGTGATGCCATGATGGTTTGTTTACGTTCATCCTCTGTTACAAATGTAAATGTGTTAAGATCGGTATCATTAGCCACAGAATTATTAATATGCGTATGATTCAACAGAATGTCACTTTCTAATTCATTTCGTATTTCGGCTACTTTGTTGGTGAAGAAACACGAAAATCTTTCTGAAAGTTGGACATTGTCAGGAATTGATGGTAGCTGACTTTGATTAATTTGTTTAAGCAGACTATTCACAATACGATACAGTCTTAAGACCAACTAGAAATCAGCCAGATTTCTTCAAGTTTGGGAATGTGACCTCAAAGATTTGTTGAAGAGAATCCTGTCATCAACCTCTCAAAGACAATAAATTGTAGCCCAATTATTATCTATTCAGATGGTGTATTGTATAAGTGTCATATTACACTGCTCTATATTTAGAATGTAAAACTAAAGCTAGATGGGTTTGGAATCAGATTCTATGAAATTTGAATAAGAGAATAAGAAAACTAATCAAATTAAACACAGAAATAAACAATTTAATAACAATTTAATAAAATTAAAAAAAATTGATTCAAATATTACATAATGTAATAATAAGCTTATTAATTTGATGTAATATCTACAGCAGCTTGTCTAAGCCAGGGTATAAAATATCTTACATTATTTTACTCATATACTTTGATATTGACCAATTTGATGTTAACCAATTAAATGATTTTGGAACTTTTTCTTGGGGAGATAAATATTCATAAGTAAAACAAGGGTTGTTGAGCACATTACGATTGTATAACTCTTGCCAATTATATATTGATTTCTATAGAAAGGGGTCAATATCGAAATATTAATGGCCTATTGATCCATCGTACAATACTATTTACGAACTTATCAATTATCAGTAAAAGAAAATTTGATCCAAAATTATCTATTTTGGTGCAAAAATATGAACATTTACTGATTATTTACATACAGGGAAAAGGTCACCCCAAAACAATCTACATGTATTTGTTATTTAAAAGAGCTAAATCGCTAATATTTAGGACCTAGAAATTGACACAAATGGTTCGCAACACAAATAATAATGTAATATGAATGTACATAAACTGATTTAGTATTTATTGCGCATGCTCTCCAGATAGGAATATGACGTAACCGTTTGAGTTACTTGTGGAATATATCTAGCCCCGTCCTTAAAGGCATTCGTGAACCAATGGTAAAATGTTTATTTTGTCTTACAATCTTATGGAAGCCTACAACTACCATTCATAATTTCTACTTTTCGCCCCTTCAAAACACAAAAGTCGAAAAGTGACCTTGAAAGTAGAGACTACATCAACTTCTGAGGAGAAAAGACAACAGTACGACAGCAAGCCAAAATCAAAGGTCGCTAATATCGCCATCAATACTAGACTTTATAAACTATTTTGTTAACGCGAATTTATTGTCAATGTCAACAAAACAGTACACCTTTAATAATGTATTATAACAATATTACTTATATTCTCTGTCACCACAGAGTTCTTGATGTGGAAAGTTACAGGGAAATATTTATTTATGGCTAGAAATATTTCCGTGTAAATTTCCACATCTTTCTTATCTAAATTAGATCCTGCTTATATATATATGTAATTTAGATAAGAAAGATATGATATCATATCCCTAGCCATAAATAATTATTTCCGTGTAAATTTCCACATCAAGAACTCGTAGTATTATTCTTACAATTTCTCGTACAATAGGGACCACAAGGCAAAAAGTTAGGCCCGATATACGTGAACATCAAACCGAGATCTTTGATACATAAACATATAATATTAAGTTTTTTTCAAAACCGGATACAAATCGTTAGAGGGACCACAGCCTTCGATCCGATTATCACAAAATTCAAACCCAGGGTGTAACGGTGTATATTTAAACGGTTTTTAAAATCGGGTATAAATTGTAATTTTTGGTACACCCATGGTCCATAATCTAGGAGGTTACGGACCGATATGTGCGAATATGGAAAGAAACAAAAATCCGTGGAATATAGACATATATTTTAAGTTTGATCAAAATCGGATAAAAAAATTGTGACTTCTACAGTGTCCACAACCTTGGTATTATATACTTTTATACTATTTGCGAACGAGGAGCGGGCAGTTTCAATCCAATGTTCATGAAATTCAAACTCAACCATGGTGAGGGTGGAATGGTGATATGTTAGAACAGCTTTTAATATTGGATAAAATGCCAATATCGAAAGGAACCGCGTGTCCACAAATAAATTGTGGGCTGACAGGGGCGACTCAATACACGTCCAGTTGAAAATATGGGCGTACAAAAATAGCTCAGCATGATAAAACTTGGTTTTTGGAAGACTAAACAACTGATATCAAAGATTTTTATTTTAGAAATTAAAATGTTAAGTTATTTGATACTCCCACTGGCCGGTTAATAGTTGTCAACGCTTATGTAATTTATATTAGGGCAATGCTACTCAAGACGGACATGTTGTTTAGATAAAATCAGTGAACCGGACCAAACCCAAACATCCAAAATTTAGCACTTATTCCTAGATAGTCCTAGCACTAGATACACTTGTTTAGAATTAGTTTTGTTTTCTTCAATTTGTTTTAGAATGTGGTTTCGTTTTGTTGATTTTATCAATTTATTTTCTTCAGTACGGAGATTGTTGTATATTTGTCTGTTTATTTCAATTTTACTATTTCTCCATATTTTTTTCGCTGATTGCTTTTTACTTTTTATAACTAATATGTCCGTCGTAAACCATTGCTTGTTTGGTCGTTTTGTCAACAGTTTTGTTTGTTCAGGAGCATGTTTGTCATATATTGTAGCCAATTGTTTGTCATATTCCGAAATTTGATCGTCCAGATTACTTAGTTTGCTAAAATGCAAGAAAACGTCATTAATGTCACTTCTAAAACTGTCTATATTTATGTTCTTTGTATTCCTAAAAGTCAGTCTTTCTTTTACACTGCCAGGTTTGTTGAGCTTAAGGGAGGCACTGTGATGATCGGAGATACAGTGATCAAGAACATTTGTACCGGCTATATGTCATCAATATCTCTTGTAATAACTAGATCCAGAGTGTGGCCCTTTCCGTGAGTAGGAACTTGCACATGTTGTGTAAGGTTATATGAAGATAAAACATTAAGAAACTGAACAGATTTGCTATCACTGACATTGTCAATATGAAAATTGAAATCACCAACTATTAATAAATGACCTGTTGATGTCACTAAATTTTGCAGTAATTCAGAAAATTCGGCTATAAATTGATCAAATGTAACTTTGTTTTTAGGAGCTCGTGGAGGACGATATATAGATACAAGTCTAATATGTTAACTTTTGGTTGACAGTAATGTGTGTAATATTTCAAAAGTTTTGAAATCAGGATTTTTAATTTCAATTAATTTAATAGAATGTTTGTATATTATTGCAATACCCCCGCCAGTTCGCCCTTTTCGATTTGCAGTTGTACAGGAATAATTTGGAGGAACTAGTTGATTGATAGGAACACTGTCATTGTCTTTAAGCCAGGTTTCAGTCAGAGTTAGAATATCGATGTCATTATCGGTAATATATTCATGAATTTCGTCTGTTTTATTTTTGACAGATCGGACATTTAGTAAACAGAAACTGAATGTGTCTTTCGAGTCAAAATGTTTTTCTATGCAAGTGTTATTAGTATGGCTAGTATTAATTAGCCTCAAACTGCTGACACGATTTTGAACCCTCTCATTTATTGGTCTGGAATGTATTGTTATTTCAATATTATATACAGTTTCAGATGCATTTAACTGAACATGATTATTAGAATTTACACTAAAAGGGATATAAATGTTAACACCACAGGAAGAGTTAAGTGGGTTGTTCAGGAAACTGTTCATTAACAACACAGAGAATAGGAGAGTTATTTTGGGTTTTGTGACAATTCAGAGATTTCAGCTCACTGGTTTATTCCCATAACGCCGACTCACCGAGTTTTAGGGGGAAAATTTGGGTCGGTGTTAAGGGTCGACTGGCCAAGAACAATAGACCCAAGCTGGGGGATAAAACTAATTAAGCCGATAATTTTGGGAGCATTTATTTTTTACAAAAATTTATAACAATCTTTAACACATAACATTACAAATAATTTTAACTTTTGGCACGCATAAAATGTCCAACATAGTCCAAAAATTCTAACAAATTCAATCCTCCTTCTTCATATCTATGTTTTGCATCTTCGATCTTTCTGTTGATATCTGTGTATTTTTTCCGTTTAGGTGAAAGTCGCTGGCCACTCGAATACTGCAACAACTCAATTTCGATCGTCTTTTGCTCTTCTTTCAAAAATGCCATCACTTCAAAAATATTCGGATGAGCTTTTCCAATTAATTTTTTTAGACGCCCGTGCCACCCCTCTAAAGAATTGTTGGTTCTTCGCGTGGTTTGGTTGTGGTTCCATTGTACTTGAGTAAATTGACCGTCTAACCATTGGGTAACCATATAGTCGGCCAGTTGTTGAAATTTCTCATTATCTGGTACCTCGGCCATTATTTGGATCCATGCGTCATCAATCTGCAAATAAAAGAAAGATACATATAAATTATCTATATTTACAATATAGCTATATTTACAATATAGCTATATTTACAATATAGCTATATTAACAATATATCTATATTTACAATATAGCTATATTAACAATATATCTATATTAACAATATATCTATATTAACTATATACTTATATTAACTATATACTTATATTAACTATATACTTATATTAACTATTTACTATATATAATGAATACTTACATCAGTCACGGGCAGTAATGGTATCCCGATACACCGTCTAACGAATTTGCGTGTTTCTTCTTCTCGGTATGACGTTTGCAGACCCAGTTGTTGGACTTTTCTCCAAATACATTGACCATAGTGAAAATAACACCCTTTCCATTCTACCCCGGGAAAAACTGTCTCACTAGCATTCTTTGCGGCCAAATCAAAGTCCATCTAAAAAATAAGAAACACATTTAGGTCATACTACTATGTTATGGTTATACATGTAGATTACGATGTAGAATAAGATATTAATCGGTGTATTGTGCATTGATTAAAAATATTCTTACCTGAAAAATGGAAGGTTGAAGGTTGAATCCGTTTTCACTTGCCACTTGCTTCAAGAGACCAAAAGCTCTCCGGTATGTCGACTCTCTCTTGTCAGGTAAAAAGAAAATTACCAATGGAACAGGACGATCTTGGATCAGTGCGTGGATGGCGTATAGTTGATAAAAAATTCGTGGGCATATATAAAATGTTCCATCGCCAAAAAGTACATTCGAGTCACACAAAGATTCAAGATTCTGTCTTGTGGTAAATCCTAAAATTTTCTCATCGTCACCATCATTGATGAATAAAAACTGTTCTCCGCTATCTGTCTGTTGAAAAAGGTCGGGCACAACAATGTCACGTCGATGTTTAGGTAATGTGGGAAATTTCTTATTCCTGGCTCTATATAGGGTGCTCTTCTTGGAGTAAAAAGTTGGCATGTTGGCGATGGTGGTTCTATTGTCGTCTGTCCATTCACCATTCCGTTTACCGTTTATTTCTTCTTGGTAAAGTTGTGTAATCGGATTTGTCGTAGATTGGACCTTTTCCTTTAAGCACTGCATCATTTCTATGATCTATAAAAAAATAAGATTTATTTTATAATAACAATGAATAAATAGTAGAATATAAAATTAGAAGCTTACGACAGAAATTTAAAAAAAATGAGAATTCAAGTGTAATTTAAAAGATGCTTTTTATAACACAGTAACTTACTTGTATATCGGAATAGGCTGTTGGGTGGTTGTGGTCGACGTCTATTCTGCTAACTATATCGTTAATGGTAGATGCTGTAGCCCTTACATCCCTTGCTCTTTTCGCAGCACTGCCATATCACTAAGTCGTTATTCTTTCTCTTATTCATTCTATACTTAAAACCAGCAACACATAGGTAACTGCCACCTCTTGCTGTAGGAAGAAACTTAGATTGTAATTGTAATGTATATGAAATGTCTTGGGATTATTTACGTATTTATACTTATTTTGAGAAATAATCACAATGAACTGAATTTCGATCACTTGTCAGCTTCTTGTTGAACTGTCGTATATTATTTTATTAATTAATGAGTGGGTTGAATTTAAGTGAACTATATTAATAATCTGAACAAAGTAAAGTAAACTATAGATTAAGAAAACTATAGTTAGTGAGTTGAATTTAAGTGAACTATATTAATAATGACTGGTCCCTACCTCATTAACGCCTTTAATCCGTTCTTAACCCATCAAAGAGTGCCGCGGTCGACTTTCCAAACTCTGGTGAGTCGGCGTGATGGGAAGACACCAGCTCACTAACACTGTAGGTGATCATACTGATGATTACTATTCACCACGGTAGACTGTCAACTATATGCTATTTTCATCCAAAATACACATTTAAAATAAGAAAATCGTTAAAATAATTTTCAACAGGTATCCTTATACTATAAACCAAGTCCATGCAAAAACTAGCAAGTAATAATAACAGTTAAAACACATAAATTACAAATAACTAGCAGACAAGACACAGTGCAACCTCTTGGCAGGCATCTTATAAAGTAGCTTTTTTGTAAGGTTTATATTATTATTTCTTTTTACTCATTTTTCTTATGCTGTTTTTCATCCATGTTTGGCCTTTTGGCAAAACATGTGATTAGTGAAATTATTACTACATATATTTATAGAATTAGTGGCGATAAAATCGTCCCATTCCGTGGAGAACGCGCCCTGTCTCCGTCCTTCATACTTGGTATTTTTTATATTCCCAGATATTTCCATCTTGTTTTAGGTTTTGATAATGATAATTGACAGTACACGGGACAGTGGTCGCTACGAAAGTTGCCAAGGCATCCTGATTCAGTTGTAAAGCCCGAACAATAGGTTACAATCAAGTCAATTAACGATTTATTGCCTTTACTGTCATATATCACCTGATATATTGTAAGTTAATTTAAACAAAACGGTTAATGGCGTTATGTATAAAAGTGTTTTGTTTAAGACTCATATCAGTATTAAAATCACCCAAAATAAAACATTTATTTATATTATCATATACTGATCTTATTATTGATCAAACAATTTTATTATCGGTAGTTGAGGATTAAAGTAGACTACAATTCTTCTATTAACCCAATAATTCAGATTGTCAAATTTTAATCATCCTAATTTTAACCAGGAAGATAACTGAGACAGCAATCTATTTTATGACCACCACCCGGTATGTACTCGGTCATTCATTCATTGGTTTATACAAGAGGGTGGGTCCATTAAACAAGGGCTTTATGCGGGAACAAATCGTTAAAACACCACCTACTAGTGTACGGATGTAATGTCAGGGGCGGATCCAGGAATATTTGCAGGATGGGGTTTGCCAGGTGCCTGAGACAATGTATTCCCGCCCCTTCCCCCCACCCCCAAACCTTCGACCCTTATTATTATCGGTTTTAAAACCAAACAATGACATAAATAGTCTCAACACAATTCTTCCGACCTATAACATGTATCCTTTAGTGTATGGGGGGGATTGGATGGCCGAATGGTTAGCACGTGTGCGCGCTGTATCACACGGTCTGCCATAGAGTCAACTGTCGGGGTTTCGATTCCCCGGTTGTACGTGACAAGGAGTGGGGTCGTCTGTCCAACCTTGTGGGTTTTCTCCGGGTCCTCCGGTTTCCCCCCACTGCTAAAGACCCCTAGGCGCAAGCGAATTGTTGAAATAAAAAATTGAACCATGTGTTAGTCCCGAAATGACCTAGTTTATGTCGAGTGGACGTTGAACCCCATTTCTCTCTCTCCCCTTTAGCGTATCTATAAAATATCTCCTCAAAATAACTCATAATCGTCACCTATCCAATTCAACTGGGGTTTCAGGAATAAAAGTAGGCTCCGTTAATATATACACCTTAAAGATGCATTATGTATGAGCCAATTCAGATCTAGCGTTTGCCCTGAAATGCTATATAAATCATTAATAAGACATTTATTCACATACCAAGCCCATAATCAACTCGGATGGTTTTGATTTTCAACGGATTTAAACACGATAACCAGTTAATAATTTTATTACAAAATGGATAATCGAGGCTGTTTAGTATCTTGTTACTATTGACTTCATGAACGACAGGGAGACGCATTATCCTAAGAGGACGATTTAGCCCGAGATATGGGCATTATTGTAGATTTTTAAGCTTTATGTTTGTTTTGTATTAAACGATTATTGGAAATGAAATGAAATGAAATGGGGTTTAACGTTCTACTTTTCTGCACCGAACTGGGCTAATGAAGACGGGCAAACACCATACAATGTGCTATGAGGGAAATTTTGCCCGGACAGCGGCACTACGGCCTACGCTTATATCGAATTCCAACTGTCAAGGGATCTTTTACGTGCACGCCAATGTGTACACGGGACCTCGGTTTTTCGTCCCATCCAAACGACTAGACAGCTGTCCTGCATCACTGACAAGGGGGAGCCACGCCGGAAAATCTGGATGAACTTTCTCGGCCAATGCAGATATCGAACACCGACTTTCAGACTAGCAAGCCTGCGTCTTACCCATTTATGTAAAAACAGGGAATGTTTTATTGAAGATGAATTAAATGTGCTGAAATTATTCATAATCGTGTATCTCGAGTAAAAGCAAAACCCCTATTTTCATTGTTTTTATCTCCTTATTCTATTGTTATATATTTATAATTATTTAATCATATCAACCTAAAATTCAAGACACGAGGAAGAAATGATGATTAATTTCTTAATAAATGCGGTTCTCATAGAGGTAGTTGCACGCGTTGAAAGACTTAAAATAATGTTACGATCCACTGCATTATTAACACCCAACCTACCCACCGTCCCTTTAAATTTGTGCTTGAATAAACATGTTAGGGATTGCCATGGATTTATTTGAACACGTGATGATTCAAGTGATGTAAATATTTAAGTATGTATAGTATATACTGACATTTTCCTGGACGAATGTTTTATCCTGTTCAAAGCAAACACTGTGTTGCAATAATAGCTTTGGTAATGGTAATCAAAGATGTTACCATGGGGATAATGTTAGGTCACCGATTTTCGATTTATAATTCTATTTTGATCGTAGAGTTCTGAATCTATTAATACCCATATCGTCGGTGAAGATTTAGTGTCAAAAGGGTGTATCTCGGGAAATTAGTCAGATACACTTTTTTTGCATTTTTAAAATCTCCCAATTAAAATGCACATTTCTCTCTAAGCGGTGTATCTCTACGCCAATGCTGTTCTGGGTATCATGTGTCCAAAGTGTCAAAAGGGTGTATCTCGGGAAATTAGTCAGATACACTTTTTTGCATTTTTAAAATCTCCCAATTAAAATGCACATTTCTGTCTTAGCTGTGTTATCTCTACGCCAATGCTGTTCTGGGTATCATGTGTCCAAATGTTGTATCTTGATTTGTGGAAATTTTGAAATGCAAAAGGTTCTATTTCTTAATCTTTAGAAATCTTAGATACACCCTTTTGACACTTCACCGACGATATTTAGTTACAAAATTAATTTTTCCCTATACTTTATCAATTGACTGGGTATTAATACAATCCGTTCTATTTATTGTGACATTCAATGGTTCATATTAAGAGCTCTTAACAAAATTTATTCAATTATAGTTTAGGTTAATAAAACCATTGATGAACTGTAATCATACGGTTTATAATGTCTCAAGAATATGACGTTATCTTTCACGTCCAAGCTAAAGAAATAAATCTAGATAAGAAGTTTACTTCCTTCTTGTTTGTCGTACACACTTCACAACCAGGCTGTCTTCATTTGTATGTATTTAAGAATATGGTGTACAGATGTTCACTATGGATATACATGTATATAAAGTTGTTAGTATTTTATCAACAATAATAACCTGTTACTTTGGTAAGTTAT